CCATCTGTGTCTGTCCTTTTAACTGCACTGATGAAGCAAGGGGGTACACGTCGTAATTCTTTCACTATTGCTGATACAGGGCAGGGAAGCCTAATAGCTATTGCCTATTTAAGGTAAGGCCTGTTGAAAGCTACAGCTCATCTTTTAAAAAAACAAAAATCAGTTTTGTGCTTGGTACTGCTATTTCTGAGACAATGTAAAATAGATGCAAAGAAATATTCTTTATTAAAAGTAACAAGGAACGTGTTTTCAAACCCATTTAGAGTGCAAATCAACTAGTCAGGAGCAAAATTATGGACTCTGTCAGAATATACAATGACCTGTTATCAGTGACCTCATCCCTCTGTGAATTCTGTTCATCTGATTCGTGTGATGAAGTGTAATCTTCTTAATCTAATTCGAGAAGATTCTAGAAGGAGAAGAGGGCATGCGCCGAAGAAGACATGCCTATTCATGAATATGTATTAGCAGACAGGATATAAACCAGGAACAGGAACTGTACCACACGCGTCTTGGTGGAGCAGAGACTCCCGGCGCACCCAGCGCTGTTTGCTTGCCTCTATTCGCTTAATAAATTGTAAATTTGAATTGGAATCCTGTTTGGGACTAAATCATTTATCACACCTCTTTCTCTCTGCCTCAGCCAGCTGGTGCCCAGGGACACAGCAGACTCTAGATTTTCATACTGAAGGGTGTACGGCATAAAGAGGGCAGGGCCACCAGGCCGCAACCACAAAGCAATGCTCCGATACGGAAAATGGGATCTGTTCCTCCTCTCTGAGTACTGAAAGCCCACATGATAGCTGGTACAACAGGGGCTGCTCCAGCCAGGAGATCTCTCGAGGAGATTGCTGCTCCAGTATCTCCTGTCTGAGGGGAAGTACTGACATACCCAAAGGCTTCATCATCGTGGAGTTTTGTAAAATGAAGTTCTTTCCCAAAACAGTTTTCATTAACTGCATGCTCCACCTTCCTGCATGGAGACCCTATAGGAGACAAAAGGATGGCAGAGTTTGGATCACTTCGCATTAAGTCCACTATGATACCAGAATCACTGACACTTTCAAGACAAAATTCAGCCAATTCCTTCAGTGAAGAAGGTGGGCTTAGAGGACAGGCATCTTGAGCTCCGAAGATGTTCTGAAGGAGCTGCTCCACATCTAGGCTATACGGCACCATGTCAGTCTGGATGGCCTGTTCCACCATCACATTGCCGGTTTTCTCCTCCTCCTGGGAAGAAGTCAGCTTTCCAGCCAGAACATTTTCAATCATCTCTTGGTTCACAGCAGAACTGGAGGGAGCTGCATCACTCGACTCTGAGGCTGTGGTGGTCATACTCTCTTCAAATTAATCAGTCCCGTTAGCTGTGTCCTCATTAAGAAGCAGCCCACTATCTGCCACCTCCTCCAGAGCCTGGTCCTCTGTGATGAGGCTGTCTGGCAT